CCCCAAAACCCCAAAACCCCAAAACCCCAAAACCCCAAATCACTAACAAAAATATGAATTTTTAAAGCATGAATCTATCCAAGAATCCTGGTCCTTCGGAACTGAAAATAGGTCATCAGAAGTTAGATCGGGATGTTAGTGAAAGAGAAGGATTTGGGATGGAAGACAAATCGGAGGAGGACCAGAGGTATTTGGAAATATTGAGAGGAGGAAACTTAGGGGATGAGCAATGGGGGTAGGTAAAGGAAGCTATAGTGGAGTAGAGGGATATCAGAGAGGGAGAAGGCAAGAAGGAATTATTGGGCCTGAGCATATTTTCGTTTAAATGCAAGGAGTAATTAATATTGAGGCTTAATTAGCTTTACAATATTTTCTTATGTGGTTATAAGCATCGGGATACTCAAGCTTCTTATTAATATGATTACTTCTCTGGTTATCCATTTCCTTAAAAATCCAGAATAAAACGACCAATCAAAACGAAACACTGGATTTCTCAGATGCTCCTTTATTCTTGGATGCTGTATGTGATTCTTTAGCACATTAAGATTCTAAAGAGTAATTAATTAAATATTTGGAGTGTCTTAATGTAGAGGTCAAGTATTTTGTTGTTATTGGATGCATGCAAAGACTTGAGTAAAGGATGATTGCTGACCTAGGTCAGGCTCCTTCTCTTCCTCAAAGCTGAGTACTTTGCCTCTTATGTGATCGATTGTTCTCTTAGAAATGAACCAGTTGTATTGGACTCAGTCGTTGTTAAAACACGCTGTGCTTGACAGCATTTTTACTTCTTACTTGCTTAAAGAAGTCATTCAACAACCTTGCTCTACCAAGAAGCATCTGTTGTATAAAGACACTTTCATATACCAAGCCGTTTGTAGAATCTGACGGAGTGAGGAGTACCCCATTAAGTACTTATCTTATAACACTCAAACCAGAAACTAACACCAATTCTTTCAAAAAGTGTTAACAAAAATTATAACATATTTTAAGTGCAACAATCGGGATTTTAAACTGCGATTTTGGGTGAAAAAAAAGCATCTGAGTACTTTAGAAGGGGTCGAGTCAGGGTTTTGGGAAGGAATAGTGTATTCTATAGAGAAAGGACTTTTTATACTGAAAAGGGGTTCTGTGAGGGATTTTTGGTGCGCCATGAGGGATTTTTATGGTGTACTGATTTGTAGTTATGCGATAGAGGAAGGATTGGTTGAGTTTATTGGGAATAAAAGGAGTGAAATGGATGCAGAGTGGAGTTTTGAGGCTGATGGGAGGAGAATGATGGAATAGGGCTTATTAGAGAGGATTTTATAGTAGTGCTATTTGTTATGATGGCTTGTGTATTCGCTGTTTGATGTTGATTATTTACTATATTAGCATTCTGTGCTATAAACTTGGTGTCGTAATGTGAAACTAGTTTGAAGATTTTCAATTTGATAGAGGAGATAATTTCTAAGAAGCTTGACATCGAATTCTCGAAGCAATTAAACAGAGATGTAGATGAAGATAATGCTTTAGATATCTCTAAAGAAGATGATAAAGACTTATAAACTCAACTAAACTAACCTAAATTTTCTTTGAAATAGTTCGTTTTAATAAGTTAATGCTATAGTATTATGATCAGAAAATATTCAACCTTAATGCCCAAAAAGATAGAAGCATGAGATACTATAGGAGAAGGCCTTTCATGAATCTGCTAGCTCTTCCATAAAATCTGACCAAGAATTCTAGACTAAAATGCCATTAAAGACTTAGTTAAATGAATTGGTTATTAGAAAAATATGGAATAAATTTGCCAAATATGAAAGATCATCATAAGGCGTTCACATTGAGGTCATTTTAATCAAAATGATTCTTCTCAATAAAGTCTGAGAGACCACTATCTGCACTCATCATGTTTAGATCGTCAAATAGATTATTTTTAACACTTTTCTTAGCAGATCTTTCTTTAGTACTCTTTGGCGTACTAACCGGTGTTAGCTTATGATTAACTTTCCCTTTCGGAGTAGAGTATTTGTTCTCCTTGCTTCTTTGAGATTTGGAAATCTTACTTCCTCTGCTTGAAATTCTTGATGATTTCCGACTCTTTTGAACTACAGATTCTTCGCTCCATGCAAGCTTGATTGGAGGGAGTGCTTTTCTCTTAGTTCCCATTCATCCACCCATTGCTAAAATATCGAGTTAAATTTATATAATTGTGAGTTTACAAGTTTATATGGTCCACAGGGGTTTTGGGGTTTTGGGGTTTTGGGGTTTTGGGG